CCAGCGTTTTGCTTGCTTTACTAGCCGCAGCATCGCATTGAAGGCTTATGTTAATCTTGTGGTCAATGATGACCCCCAAGCTATTTCAGCGCCCTTGGCAGAGCTAGAGGAGGGGTGGGGCAGGATAGTGCTGAGCAGAGGAGAATGGAGGTTGTGGGGGCAGCTCAGCAAGACATTAGAGACTCCCACCATGGGGAGCAGGGGCAGAATCCCCTCAGCAGCCTCACTTCTTCTCTGCCAAGCCCAGCTCTCAAACACAACCATTCCAGCACCCTTGTGTATGTTCTGATCCACCCCTAGTTACACTACTGATCATCAACTATTTTCAGAAATGACACTACTATAAGCTGCACCTTTTAAATCTACCAGTATTATTTCATTTTGTAGGGAGTCTGTTCCTCTCTCTGCACGGGCATTAAGTCCCTCCTCTCTTACAACATTAGTGCCAACTTCAGTCTATGGCTAATACAGTAGATGTTGCCACAAACCAGAAAAGCATGGAAGGGAAGACTAGACAAGCAATTGTCATATTTGTAGTAGAAAATTCTTATATTAATAGACACAAGGATCTTATATTATTGTACATACTAATTCCTGATGGTTCTGTTCAGAGACAATTTATCATCTGTTCTCTCAGTATAAAGACATAAAATACATCTCTCTGCAAAATAATATTAGAGAACAATCATTTGAAAGTAAAGCTACTTCATACTGCCCTTCTACTCTGTTTCAAGCATAGCCTGAAGGCACTCATAGCCTTTAGGCACATAAGGTAATTCACTTTTCAAGCTTGTTAAGTCCATAGGTGCTCTGTTGAGAAGGATGCCATGTGTGCTTGGGGAATTGTGGTGTGGATATCTGTTCACTAGAAAATGGACTGAAGCCACTGACTTGGTTCACGTATGACAGCAACTTGTCATTAGAAGGTATTAATTATAGCTTGTTGAAGTAAATTGGCTTGACATCAGTTACTTAATGGGCCTGTCCTGGGCCAGTAATAAGAAGCATAATTTTTAACTATCAAGTTCTTACAACATCTGGCAAAACATAAGAGGCAGCAATTGTTCCTCCTTGTTGATTTGTTTTCATAACGGTAAGTATTTGTTAAAGACCTGAACATTGACTTTGTGGTCTTAGCTCAGTGCCTAGTGGACAGGACTCTCAATTTGAAAAAGCACCATTGCAGTTGTCGGTAAAAGTCTTACTCGGCAGCCTCAACAGAGAGGTCATGGAAGAAAGAATTTGTATACTGAAGTAGTCTCACCAGGAACATAGAATTTCTAGGATGTATTTCAGGTGTGTTTAGTGGGGCATTGAATGGCAACTTCTTTTATGTTCTCTGACTCAGAAAACTATCTTTGATTCAGCAAAGCACTTGGGTACAAGGTTAACTTTAAATGCATACTTAATGATGAGTAGGGGCCAGGTTGTGCATGTGTGAAAATGCTGTTCTGCTGAATTGAGTCTCTTACATGGTTATCCATCTAGCAGCTTCCAAAAAAACTAAACTTCAGTTGTTTTTAAAATCACTTATTTCTCTTAAAAATAGTATGTAGGAGTCATGGTATTTATGTAAAATCTTTACCTAGCTTCTTAATGGGAATGAGCATCTGTATATCTTAGCCTGCAAATGCTCTAGCATGTGTACCCAAAATAATGTGACAAGTGGAAGGAGATTTAGTATGCAGAGAAGGTGAATCTGCAAACAAATGTGTAAAACTTTAGTAAGTGGTGGTTTGTCATGTACACACACAGGATGCATCTATACGTGTACTTTACTTCTGAGTTGACTAATTAGCTCTGCAGTAAAGTGTCACTGTCTTTGTGTCATTATTAGAGACACGGTAAATTAATTAACTCTGCTGTAAGATAGTACAGTTGGTGACAGTACTGTCTTACAGCAGAGTAATTAAGTGTGATGAAACGTACATGTAGATGGTGACAAGGGTGATAGGGACTGTCTGTTGTACAACTTTGCACTTTAGCATTCTTGTGCCCCAGCTAGCCCTTGCACTGCCTGACACCACCCCCCAGGGCCCAGGGCTGATGCCCCACACCTGCTGCCAGCCAGAGGCTGCTGTGTGTGGCTCAAACTGCTGCTGTTGTGGGTGCACGTGTAGACACTGGAGTTTATTGTGTTGCCTTAATTTCACATTAGATGCACTTGCAGTGTTGCATAACAGATCAAGCTTTTTAAAAGCCCTTTTTATTTATTGTTGTGCAGGGACCTGAACTGATGAATAAATATGTTGGTGAATCTGAGCGAGCAGTGAGAGAGGTAAGATGCATGTTGAGAGTGGGGGTGTATTGTGTCTTAGCAGCAATTTCACTAATAGTATGTCTGGTAAAGCCTAAGTATTTAACAGAAAATCTTACTTCACAAGAAAGAGAGGGGTTGTTTTTGTTTAGTTTTGGGGTTTTTTTGCTCTTTTTTATGTGAAATTAGGATTTTTCTTTTTAATTTGTCTTATGATGGCAGTTGCTTCTGATTCTATGCATGTAATTTTGAGCTCCAGATTAAGTCTAATTTTAAAAGATATATATTAGGTTGTTTGAATACCAAACACTATTCTAGCAAATATGCCTTTCTTCCCCTTAGTTAGGATATTGTGTTGTTGTTTTTTCTAGATCTTCAGGAAAGCCAGAGCTGTGGCTCCCTCAATTCTTTTCTTTGATGAAATAGATGCTTTGGCAGTTGAAAGAGGGAGGTAAGGATAATTGTTACAAAAATGCTGAATGCTCATTCTGTTCTGATAAACAACTGCTTATGTTTTTCAGCCATTCCAGGTTTTTTGTCTTTATTTAGAATTCTATATTAAGTTTACTATTTTTACAAGGGGAAGGATGATATTAATGACCTCAGTCTAGCATGGCCCACTTGGCATCTGAGGTTAAGGTGTCAGCTTCTTCCTTTCTCACATCCTTAGTCTAAGCCAGCAGGTGAGGTCCATGACCTTTAATGCTCTGCAATGACAAACTTGGACTAAATGGTATTTATTAACTATTCTTTTCCACTGCTCATGTCTGACTTTATGGTTAGTTCCTGTTATTGAATTCTGTTTTTCTCAGAATTTGCACTGCACCATTTGAAGGCCTTGATCAAGCAAAGCACTTGAGCATGTGCCTAAATTTCAGCCTTGGAGTAGTTCTACTGGAGTCACATTTCAGTCAGTGGGACTACCCAAAACGTGTATTGAAGCACTCTGCTAAATTGAGACCTAATTACTTATTTGGAAGCATTTATGTCCTTAATGCCTAAGATGAAGAGATATAAGGCTGTAGAGGTGGATAATATAACTAGGTTCGAAAAGAGCTTAGACAAAGAAATAGACTGGTGATTCTCAACCAAGGTGTCATAGCACTCTGGGATGCTTTGAGATCCTTTCAGGGGTGTTGCAGGGTGCCACACAGTGTTAGCATTGTTAGGTTTACAAACCTGATTCACAAAATAAACCCAGATAGAAATCCACAGCTGTGGCCTTAGTTCTTTGCAACAGAAAAACTGATCTATTGATTTTTCTCTGTAGCCAAAAAAAACTGTGAAAATTTAAGAGCTAGCATTTCCTAAGGGGTGTCTCTAGTTTATCCAGGGGTGCCATGAGTCTAGGAAGACTGAAAATCACTGGATTAGACCCACAGAAGATAGGTCCATTGATAGCTGTTAAATTGAAGAGGCGGGGATGTATCGTCTGACATCTCTGAACCAATGATGGTTGAGGCTAGGGAGGGTGTAACAGGATGGATTACATTAGATATGCCATGAATATATGCTCTTTCTCTCAAGCTTCTACTGCTGTCAGTGTTGGAGACAGGATATGAGCTAGATAGCCCACCCGTCTGACCCTGCATATAACAATCATTTCATAACATCCTGCTTTGCCCTGATTACACAAAAGCAAAAAGAATCTAGAAGCCTAATGCTGTGCTACAGGAGGATAGCAGTTTTTACTTCTTGTTGTAATTCAGGGGTATCAGACATATCTAGGACCCTGAGTCAGATCTGGACTGCAGGGCTCCTCTCAGGTCAGATCCAGGCTGAGGCATGGGGGCATCTGCTGGGGCCACCACTATGGAGATGGATCTATAGTTGGCATAGGGTCAGATGGCCATGAGTCCAGGGATGAGATTCTGGCAGCAGTGGAGGTCTGGGGTTGCAAAAAGGGTTTGTGGGGAAAACTACAGGAGCAGCAAGACAAGCTCGCTGCTTGCAAGTATAGGCAATAAATTATTTTCCACTGAAACAGCAAAAGTTGATGGAAACACAAGATTTCCACTCAGTAGATAATTTTTTAAAGTACAAAATGTGCACACATGGTTGAATTATGAACAGTACTGAACTATAGCCATAGAACCACCAACCTGCTTATCACAATAGACTTTACAAAAATTTGTCTTGGAATTGAGCCAAAATAAAAAATCTATCCATGGTGGAATTGTTAACATGTTTAACATGTCAACATACTGCTTCATCTAGATGAAACTTTTTTGAAGAAGAAAGCACGGTGGGTTTTCAAGTAGCCTTTTAGTTCTATGCCTTCAGGCACTGGGGCTTTCTGTATTCTTTTTAGGGGATAAATAACCCGACTTCACCTTACCTGGAGGGGGGAAAAATAGCCCTGGCACAGCTTGCTCAAGAATGTAGTATGACCTGCTGCAGTCATGTTGTACTGGAGACATCTGTTTTTGGAGCTTTAAAAAAGAACAGGGTGGGACACACAAATATTTCATTGTCAAATCTGAACCAGATGGGAGGTGAAATATGTAGCAGAGTTCTCATAAAATTCATCTGAAATTAAACGGTGGAGGAAACCAGACAAGGCACTTATTAGAAATGGCCTGTTTTTACAGGCTGATTTTGCACAGTAGGAATTTGCAAATGCATTAGAGATGCTAACGATTTGCAGCCTCTGGAGATCCATTTCCTGTACTATTACTAGCCATACCAAACTTTTCAAGGAAACACCTGTTTATATTGTCTCCCTGTTCCCTCGGTGGATTGAATAGGTTTTCTCTGTTTTGGCAAGGCAAAACACTCTGGTACGAATTTTGTAGGACTTTTTCTTCCTCTTTAGTTCTGATTGCAATTTGTTACATTTTCATCTGTATAGCATGAGCTACATTTCAAGGGTTTGCAGTCAGGCAACCTGTTCTGATGCTTGGATGACATGTCTGCATCAGCAGTGTATTATCATACACGTAGTACACAACAGGCATTGTAAACTGTTAAGCTGTGTAGTTCTATGCCTAATTTAAAATAAGTATATACAAACAGACTAGTATTTAGTAGTTGTATTGTACTTTTAATTCTCAAAACAGTTTGTAAACATAATTAACTAATACTTATAATTATAATGCTTATAGTACTTATAATTAACTAATACTTATATGGGGGAAGGGTGCAACTGAAGTAGAGATTGACTTGACTGATGCGAGAAAAGCTGGGGTTTAGTTTTAGAAATTCTTAGGTTCCAGTTTTTCATGAAGGCCATTAAACAGTCTGTTTAGCATAAGTGGAGACATTAAATTAATATCCATAGTACTGCATTGTCACTGTCTCACTAATTTGCACATTGTTAATCCTTGTTTGAATACATAACCCAACACTCCTCCCTATGGTAATTCTGATTCATGGTTTAATATTACAACAAAACGGTTTAGATATATCCACTTAGTAAAGTTGGATTAACTTAAAAAATATACTTAAGAGCAAGCATACTTTTATAGTATACAGTAATAAATAAATGGAAAACACATGAAAAATACACTAAACCATTAAGTGGCCCTTAAAAGATTATTTTGAATAATCAGATAAATATTTCATTTAGATGCATTCATAGTTCAGTTGAATTCTATAGCTAATGTAGGAAATCAAAAGGGAATGATGAAAGCACCAGGGGAACCTGAACTAATGCTTGTTAAAGTGGCAAGTTTTCAATGGCCACCAAGGTATAGCTGGCAAATAAATTTAGTTTTGTTGGTTATTGTGCTGTATTTGTATGTCTCTGTTATTAAGTCGTTAATTAGAAAAAATGAAGTAATTCACAATTTAAACTTGGCAAAAGGCCCATAAGCAACAGGAAGCGATAGATGGCATAGTACCAAATTGCAGTGTATTACAGGGTCTAGAAAGAATCAACTGCACCTTTTTTTTTTTCAATTTACTGGTGGTTATAAATTTGGAGGAGTTGTGAACATCAGGGAAGAAATGGGAATAACATGCAAATATTAGAAATGTATTCGAATATGCCATAATGTGGTATAATTTGCAAATAAATTAATCCTAAACATCTGGGGGAAAAATAATCTAATGTAAGGAAAAATCAGTAGGAAGGAGAAACTTGGAAATCAGTGAGGCAAAAAGGACTTGAGGATGGCTAAAAAAGATATTGGATATGTGTTTAGCAGAGCAATAGGGGAAGATAAATGTAAACCGTGCTGTGTTCAGAAAAGCATGTGAGGTCACTGATCAAGAAATGTTTCCCATCTGCTGGGCTACATGCTTACCCCTCCCTGGAATATTCTTTATCCAAACCATATTGATTAATTAGAGAAATTCATTGTCAGATGGATTGAGTCCTAAGGAAAGAATTTGTTTTTAAGGTGTATTCATAAGTAAATGTAAAGGAGAAGAAATCAGTCTACAGATAAGCCTGTAGATAATGATAGGGAGGAAGTACTGAGGAGTTATGAGCAGTTATCATCAGCAGAAGGAATGAAAATAGAAAAAGAAAGGGAAAATTTCTGCTCACACCAAGGAAAACTGTTTTTGATAGGAAGATCCACTGTGCTTTGAACTAGCATATGGTAGAAGCAGTGTCAGGTTATTGCTCTGCCCATTTTGAACAAAATCAGACAAACCACAAGTTAATGTACAACAAGGGGCAGTCCTGAACTAGCAGAGTAGCAAACTAGCTGACGTAGTAGATATTTTCTGTCATTCTGTGGTTCTGACTAACATTGGGTTCCGTTACCTTATAGATTTTGTTTGTTTTTTTTCCCCCCCTCTTGGTTTCTGAACGTTGATTTTATGACTGTTTGCAGAAGATTGTATTAAGGCCAGGCCTACATGACAGCTCCAGATACAGCAGTGTGCAAGAAGGAATGTTTGCTTCTAAGTAATCCCTTCCCCTTTCAAAACTTGAGTCTCTAACAAATTGTGCAGCTGCAAAGAATTATGGGTATTTGTTATTCCTTGGTATCCTACCATTTAAACCCTAATTTTTCTGGCCATTACAGGTTGCCAAAAGGGAAATGGCTTGGTAATTAGACTTGAAAATGATGAATGAACATGCCTCTGTGTAAATGCAGTACAGACAGTCTGTTTGCTGAACTTAAGAAATCTACGTGCTTTGGAAATGTGACATTGTTTATATATATAGAATTTTTGGGATTTTTGGGCAATAGACATATTGGTTCCTTTTCTTGTTTTTCAGGAGCAGAGAAATGTTTTTCTCCTTAACTGCAAAATCTTGTAATGTAAGACATGAAACATTGTGGTCTGGAATGAAAGATAGTTCCTTTTTCTAAAGAGAAAGAAATCAACACCTTGCCATTCTACTTATGTAAGCTAAGACAATTCTTAAATCGATAGTTTTTCTTTTTTGAGGAGCCAGGGCAGGGGTTGTTTCAAGGTAACCCCTGCACTTCCAAAGTGGCTGGCCATTCAAGGATTTATGTTATGAGGACATTTTGGAGGCATATATTCTTC